TTGTCATCCCTTCCTCTGCAATCTCTCCACTTAGATCAGAGGTCTTCAAACTTGGCCATGTTAAGACTTGTGGACTTCAACTCCCAGAATTCTCCAGCCAGCAGAGCTGGGAGTTGAAGTCCACAAGTCTTAAAATTGCCAAGTTTGGGAACCACTGATTCTAGTCCAATGACCCCGCTCAAGCAGGAGATCCTACACCATTTCTGACAGATGGGAGGAAACAACAAACTCTTGAGGATTTTTGCCCAAGGACCTTCTGAAGCAACTCAGATGGGTCCTTAGGGCCTCCTTGGAAGCAAGCAAGGGAAGGTGGAGCTGATGACACCTTGAAGGAGGCCATCCAAAGATCTAAAGCTCTCCTGTTGGATGCTCTTTGGCGAAATCTGCCTTGCTTGGTAGGATTGGGAGAAAAGCTTTAGAAGACGCAATGATTGTGGACCGTAACTTTGCAATCATGGCATGCCTACTGATTTGGGGTAAGCAAGGGCATGAGGGAGGCTTCCACAGCCCCCTGAATCAAATCAAATCAAATCAAAACAGGCCAATCCCTTCCTTACTTTAATAATTTATTTTCCAGTAAGAAAAGAAGGTGATAGAGAAATACCGACAGTTACAAATGAAAGAGAACAAGAAGCTGGAAAGAAGTGGGGGGGAACTTGGTTAAAAACTCCCCAGAAATGTGGGGCAAGGCTCACATCTTTGCCAAGCAAATCTTCCTTGTTTTCCACAATGCCCCACGGGGCAATGCCAACAGCACAGATGCGTCCTCTGGACTTGGAAGAGTGGTCTTTCAGGGCATCTCCGACATGGCGAATGATTCCTGTGTGAGGGAGGAGAACAGTGCATTAGCCTCTTCCCTGGGATGCTTGCGTAGAATTTGGAGAACATTTTCTCCACGAAAGGCCCCCCACCCCTTTCCCACGGATGGAGACAGTCCCGTTAGGACCCAAAATGGGTATCTTTTCGAATGGCCAGATGGAAAACTGGTTTCACAATGATGGTACCCTTCTGCAGTTCTCTTGGGGGGGGGGGGTCAATTGTCCACAACTTTTAGAAGTTCCACCAAATCTTTGGGCAGCGTAGACTGTCTCAAGTTCATTGCTTTCTTGGCCTTCCACCAGAGCTTACTCATGGCTCATCCCCAGTGCAATAGTTATTGTAGTACTTGGTCTGTCCTTCAAAGCACGCAATATTTGGTGGTCCTGTACTGAGGCCACGAAATACTGGAGAAGGATTAAAAACTGGCTAAAAGAGGTCCCCGGGGCAAGCATTGAATGGAGTCCCGCGACCCTTCTTCTAAGCATTAAACCAGAAAACATGACTTAGCAGTAGTAGACTTATATACCGC